ACCGGAAAATCGCCCCCCCCGTCCCCCCCCCCGAGCTCTGGTGAGAAAAGCCCCATCAGCCCCGGCAAGGGGGGACCCACCCCGACCCCCAGTGCCCACGCGGACAACAGTCCGCGGGACACCGGAGGTCGTCCTCGAAACCATGAGGCATGGTTCCGGGGACACGCCGCGGGTCCACGGTGCCCCTCCGGACAACAGTCCGTGGGACACCGCTTCCCCGCCCTCCCCGGCCGGTTTCCCGGCTTGGCCACTCCTTGGCCATGTGGGCTCTTAGTCGGCGGGCCCTCCGGAGAACATCCGGAGTGCCCGCCTTAAGCCCCCTCACCACGACAAGGTGGCCCACGCGAGGGGGCCAGTGTATGGCCTGGCCGAACATCGGCCGAGCAGGATGGGGAAGCGATGTCCCATGGACATTCTGGCGGAAGGGCATCGTGGACCCATACTTTTGAGTGGAAGGCCTCGTTGTGCCTTTGGGTTGGAAAAGGTGTTAAATCACCAGGGCGTACCGTGTACGCATGGGTAGGCACAACGAGGCGTGGCCCCGGGGCCGTCGGAACTTATTTCCGGTTCGGGGCTCGGGGTCGAGAGGACGCGGACGTGTCGTCGGGGCCGCTCGGACGTATTCCGAGGCGGGGCTCGGCGGCGCGGGGCCCTCCGGAGTCGCTGGGACGTTTCCCAGGTCGGGGTCCGGAGGGTCGCTGGCGGGGGACTGTCGTGGTCCCGGGCAGTGTCCCGGACCCGGCAGTCTGCTCGGACGAGGGGGACAGGGGAGCCGCTCGGACTTATTCCGAGGCGGGGTCTCACTGTCCCCCGTTGCCGGGGGGCCCGCGCGATAGCCCACGTGTCCTAGCGCGGACCACCCCAGGGCGGTAGACGCCATCACGCTGGTCGCCGCGGCGGGTCGGGGTGAAGGGGGGAGGGCTTCCCCTGACACTTCCGTCCGTCCGTGGGGCCGCCCGCTTTGGCAAGCACGCGCAAGGTGTCCGCGAGGTCGGAGGCGCGGAACCCCTGAAAACCCCCACGCACTGAGCGTGGGGGCGAGTAGTGGGCTGGAGCCCAGTGGCGGGGTGCGGTATCCCCCCGTCCTGTGGCATATGCCGACTCCCCCGGGGGAACTCGGGGGCCCGGGCTGCGGCCGGCGTCCGTGGTCATGTCTCGCGGTCGGTCGCGGCTCGGTGGGGGTACACCCCGGTCGGCGGAGCCTTGCGCGGAGTGGGGATGGACAAAAAATGGACACTAACAACCATTTTTCAGGTGTGGAGGGAGGAAAGGAGGAGGGGGCGGGCGCGCAACCGCGGACATACGCGGTGGTCGCGCAGGGAGCGCAGGGTGGCGGGACAGGTGACCAACAGCCTGGAACCTCAGGAGAGCCATCCGGCCCCACGATAGTGAGCATAGAGAGCGCTCACATAGACGAGGAAAAACTGCGGGGCATAAGATCCGGCCCCAAAAGTTTTAAGATTAAGCAGAGGCGGAAGAGGGATACGCGGCGAACAAGGTCCGATCTCTATGGTCAGGAGTACCTCGTGGAGGAGGAGGAGGAGACGAAGACGGCTCTCGCTGCCAAGATCCGCACGAGGACCAAAGGCCCCCCCCCGAAGAGGACCGGAGACTCCCCCACCCCGACGGATACAAACGACGAGGAGGGGGAGACGACATCGGTGGTGAGCAGCGAAGTCGTCGACGACCCCGACGACTCTGCTCGCGTGGTGGACCCCGAGGGGGACGAGTGGCTCCGACGAAAGCGTCAAATCCCACTTGTCCCGCTCGGGGGCCACCAAAAGGAGTAGGAGTAGCCGAAGGGGGAGAGGCGCGAAGCAGGCGCGCCCCCGAGGCGACTCCAGCGAGGAGGAGAATCTCCTCCACGAAAAAAAGGACGGGAGGGGCAGGCCCGTCACAACGGGGGAGGGCGTCGAGGCGGCCGCCCTTAGGAGGGCCAACAAGATAACGCCTTAACGCCCCGAAGAGGAAATCGCGCGATGTGCAGAGGGTCCTCCAGGGGGACTACCACCCCCAGAACTACGAGGGCGCCAGTAGGCAGAAGAAGGTGACGGAGTTGGAGGAACAAATCCCCCAACTCCCCACCCGCGATCTTGTTGCAAAGGTCATGGACATCAGCAACAAGATCGACGGGGCGGCCAAGGTTAGTACAAACCTAAAAGGCACCCTTGCTGGCATTATACGGGACGGGGCCCTGTATACCAGGGTCGTCGTGGATGCCCTCTCCATGAGGGCTTTAGCAGGGGCGAGCGAGAGGGAGGAGCGGATGAGGGAGGAGATAGCCTTCCTCAAGGCTCAGGTCGCTGGCCTCATGGGCGAAAAGGAGGAGCGGGGCCGGATGAGGATGCCGCCCCCCCCCCGACCCTCCACTGGTGGGACGGCACGCCATCCCGCCGGAGGAGGGGGTAAGGGAGGAGGAAATGCCGGAGGTGGGCAATGACAGCCTGCCGATGGATCTCCTCCCCCCGGAAAAATAGCGGATCCTCCGCCCCCGGAGAAAAGGACCTGGGAGGTTGTCACACCGAGAGACACCTCCCGGGCCTCGACGTCGGGGGCTGGGAAGACGCGGGCGGGGAAGAGGGAGAGGTCCGCCTCGAGGAGGCGGGCCAATCCCTCGACCCCCGGGAAGAGCTCCCCTCTGCCATCCCCCCAAGCCCCGCAGAAAGCGGGGAAACCCCTGCCAGGAAAGGCGGAGGTGATTACGGGGGAGATGGTAGAGAGAAGAATAAAGGAGGCCGTCGATCGATCTCATAAAGAGATCGCCCGGCAGCTCCAAGAGATGAGGGAGATGATCCGCGCCTTGGCCGGTGGCGGGGCCCGTAATAGCGTTCCCGCGGCGGGCTCCTCCATCCCTCAAAGGGGTGGGGGGGCGCCGCGGGGGGCCGCCCGGTTCCCGGGGCCGTCCAGCAGGGCGGATCAGGGGGGACAAGAGACCCTCCGGGGAAGGTCGCGAACGCTGCGGGAGGGGGGCAGAAGAAGAAGAAGAAGAAGGCTCCCCTCGCGACAAACGCAGGAGATAGAGGAAATGGGTCCCTCTAACAAAGGGAACCCCAGGCCTTCCCAGCCCGCCGCGGGCGTTGAGTCGTACACGGTGGTGGCTGGGAAGAAAAGTAGGGCCGCTGGGAAAAAGGCAGCAAAGGAAGCCTCCAAGACGGCTACCCCCGGAGCCCCGGTAAAGGGGCAAACCGGGGGGGGGCGCCCAAAAAGGCCCCTAGGCGACGACTCCCGCGTACATCGGCCGTCGTGGTCACGCGACCCGACGGCGAATATCGCGAGACTCTTGCCAAGTTACGGCAAGAAATTAAGTTGGAGGACCTTGGCATCGGGGGCCAGATCAATATAAGATCAGGGGCCACCGGTGCCAAGGTCATTGAAGTGTCCGGGGAGGACCACGCCGATAAGGCTGATTTGCTCGCAGAGCATATCAGGCGGGTCCTCCCTGGCGATGAGACGCGGGTGGACAGGCCAAGAAAGATGGCCGAAGTCCGCCTGCGCGACCTCGACGATACGCTAAGCGTCGAGGAGGAGAAGGGGTGGGTGGCCAGAGCGGCGGGGTACGGCATCTCCGACAACCAATGTGGAGCGCTGCAGCCGGTGCCCCCCTCCCGGCCGAAGACCGGCCGATGGAGGAAGGGGAGGAGACGGGGGGCGGCGAAATGGGCGAGAGGCCCCAGCCGCAGCGTCAGCCGGCGCGAAAGGAGAAGGCCCCCAGTACAGAGGCCATGGAGATAGAGGCCCCATCGGACGGGAGGGATGAGAACTAGCAATGTCTCGCCCCCCTCGTCCGAATCTAAAAGGATATGGCCTGCTCCAGGCCAACGTGAACCACTCTCCACATGCACAGGATCTGCTCCAACAGAGCATGGTGGAGAGGGGGTTCACGTTGGCGATCGTGGCCGAGCCCCACCGCCCCCCAAGAAGCAGCCCATATTGGGCTGTTGGGCAGGCGGGGGACTCGGTCGCGATCCGATGGCGGTCGGTGCCGGGAGGGCCCAGCACGACCCCCATCGAAAGTGGGGAACGGCACATAGCCGTGCAGTGGGGGCCCATCGTGGTCGTGGGGGTTTATTTGAGGCCCACCAGACGCCTTGCCCCGTTTAAGGGCTGGCTATCGGACTTGGGACAGACGGTCCTGACGCCTCTCTCCTGTCGGCGTATAGACCAATTTGCCTTCTGGACGAGGTCGGTAAGCTGTTCGAGCGTGTGCTCGTGAACCGCCTCGTCCAGCACCTGTCCCAAGTGGGCCCCGACATTAGCGGGGCCCAATATGGGTTCAGGGAGGGCCTGTCCACGATGGACGCGATCAGGCGCGTCCAGGCCCTCTCTGAAGAGGCGACGTCCCAGGGGGGGGGGTGATGTTGGCGGTGTCACTAGACATCTCTAATGCCTTCAACACCCTCCCCTGGGGACGAATCAGGGAGTCGCTCCAACGCCGCGAGGTTCCGTCATATCTCGCCCGCGTCGTGAGCGACTTCCTGAGGGACAGGTGGGTCGAGTATATCGACCAAGGCGGCAGGCGCCGACGGGAGAGATTGCACCGGGGAGTGCCCCAGGGATCGGTTCTCGGACCGTTCTTGTGGAACCTGGGGTACGACTCGGTGCTGCGTGTTCCCCTCCCCCCCGACTGTCACGTCGTCTGCTACGCGGACGACACGCTCGAGACAGCCGGGGGCCGCGAATGGAGGGAGGCCCTCGCCAGGGGGCGAGTGGCAGCGGGAGCGATAGTCGACTCTATCCGCAGCCTGGGCCTCGAGGTGGCACTCGGCAAGACCGAGGTCGTGATGTTCCACGGTAAAAGACGTGGAGCACGCGGCGCGCCGCCCGAGGGACTCACCCTGGCTGTGGGTACGGCCCTCGTCAGGATCGGCCACGAGATGAACTATCTCGGGTTGATCCTCGACGACCGATGGAGCTTGGCGAGCCACCTTGCCAGAGCCGCAAGCAGGGCGGGAGTGAGAGCGGCCAAGCTTGGCCGGCTCCTCCCCAACCTTGGCGGCCCGGACGGCAAGGTGCGTCGGCTGTACGCCAATACGGTTAAGTCCGTGGCGCTCTACGGGGCCCCAGTTTAGGCCCCAAAACTCGCGGCATCGCGGCGCGCGCGCGCTCAGATGGCGCGTGCGTTTCGCCCGATAGCCGCGAGGATCTGTAGGGCGTACCGGACAATGGCGTACAACGCGGCGGCGGTGATCGCTGGTCTCCCCCCGATGGAGTACGCGGAGGAACATAGTAACACGTTCCTCGAAAGCCGCGACTCCGAGGGGAGACCCATAAGATGGTCAGCGACTCACCGTGCTCGGCAGAGACTCCGGCACCGGCGACGCACAGTCGCCATGTGGCGAGAGGCGCTCTTAGCTTCGGGGAACAACACCCCGGGGCTGCGCGTCGTCGGGGCAATCGGGCCCCTCCTTGACCAGTGGGTCGACAGGGGATGGGGTGGGCTGTCTTTCCGGATGACCCAGGTGATGACGGGGCATGGCTGCTTCGGACATTTCCTGGGTCGGATCGAAAAGGAGCAAGACTCCCGCTTCCACCATTGCAGCGCGGCGGACGACACCGCCCAGCACACGCTGGGCGAGTGTCCGGCGTGGGCGGGTGAGCGAGAGACGCTCACCCGCGTGCTCGGGCAGGACCTCTCGCTATCAGCGGTGATTACCGCGATACTGGAAGAGGAGAGGTCCTGGCACGCGTTTGCCTCCTTCTGCGAGAAATTCATCTCGCAGAAGGAGGAAGCGGAGCGGGAGAGAAGGGGCCAGATACCCCACCCTCGCCCGCCACAGCAGCAGCGGCGGCGGCAGCACCGGGCTCGGGGAAGACATCCCCGGGCTCGGCCTGCCCGACCGGTCGCGGGGGATGGGGTGGGAGCTGAGTCAGACGGAGGGAGAGCCGACGGGGAAACGCATGCTCCCCCGGCCTCCCCTCCCATGACGCGGAGCCGGGCGAGAATGTTACTCGCCCGTGCTCCCGCTCCCACTCCACCTCCTACTCCGCCGCCCACACCACCGCCCTGACGGGCGGGAGAGGGGCTGCCCGCAAGCCGCGGGTAAGTCCCCTCCCCTCTTAGTGGGCGGAACACCGCCGAGGCGGTGAGGAGATGGCCCTCCCCCAACGTCAACGGGGGAGGCGGCCTGGGTCTGGCGGGCTGGGATTCCCGTCAGGCCCTGCCTCCACGGAGGCGGGCGGTAGAGGTTGTGATCGCCTCTGCCGCCAGAAGAGTAGTGGACTCCCTCCGCGGGGGGAGTCCCCCCTCCCCCTGCCAATTCCTGGGCGTCCCCCAAGTTACAGCACCGCGTAGATCACCGTGTGGTTTTAGTGCGGTAAGCCCAGCGGCCGCAACGCTAAGCGGTCGCAGCCGATCGTCATTAGGCGGGCAGTCCCACATAACCCGGGCCATTTGTAAACTCCCTTCCCAGAGGGGGGCCCGGGTATCCATAAAGGATTTCCACACGTAAAAAAAAGGAAGAAGCATATCCATAATTTCCTTCAAAAAAGGTTTAGACGTCTTCCGTGATATGGGTCTCAAAGTTGTTAGTAAGGGATCAGACCTTAATAGAAGTCTGTTAATTATGTCCATATTACAAGCTTCTCGAGAACACTTTCTAGAAAATTTTTCTCTATATAAACGGAAGTATTTGTTTCCAGCTTCAGCGGCTTCTTGTGACAAGTGTCCAATAGCTAACAGAGCATTAGCTATAATAGTGGATCCGTGAAGCAAAAGTTTATGTATTTTATGTCCACTTGATATAACTTCTAAAATTACTTTGCATCTGTATATCAGTCGAGAGTCTACACCAGTTATTCGACCTGATAGATCAGGTCCGCAAAAAATCTTCTGCTGGTGTTACCATCATTAGTATTGCCAAATCCAGACTTGGGTACATCGACAATTAATCCCATTTCATTTTTAAATTGTTGTTGAATGTTTTTTTTCCTCTCTTTGACTATATCTTTTTCTTCCGGTAATCTAGCTTGCCATTTCTTCAACGGTAATTTATATGATAAGTGTAATACATTTTCGAAAAATCTTATTCTGGCATGCAAAATGGACAATCCAAATTTCAATGTATCTGATTTTATTTCTTTTGTTTTCGTTAATTTGTTAAACTCTTTAGATGTAGCTCCACATATGTAACATTTCATTGTTGACGTGGTCTGAGTCGCAGCATTGCAGACTTTTGCATCTATCATTGTAAATAGCATAGTGTGTTTTATTAATAAATTACCATATGTTCTTATTATTTCCGTATCTTAGGGGAAGGTGGGGCACATTGTGACAGATTTTGTTTTTCTGCTCCTTCTTTTTGGTGTAAAAGAATATTGAAATTCTTATGAGTTGATTAAGTTCCCCTTTCAACAAGGAACAGTTAGTAATTTTTCCAAATTTTAATCTTTGCAAACAATTGAGAAATAGTTACTGTCACATAGTACCCCATTTGTCACATACTGCCCCACGTATGGGGTAGTATGTGACAGGCATGGGGCAGTATGTGACAGACCAAAGTTGGGAGTTTTAAAGCCGGAAAAAAATCTTTCTAATACATTTCGAATAAATTTGAAGATTTATTATTGCACCTTCAACATTGATACAATATAAAACAAAAAATAAATTTTTTAAGTTGATCTAATGTCAATCTTAATAAAATACATTGAAATAAAATATTAAAACATTAAAATAAATCAAAATAAAATGTTTCTTTAACTTATAAAAACAATCAATAAAATAAAATAAAATTTTAAAACTTTCTTGAATTAAACATAAGTATCAAAAGCTTCTTTGGCTCACTATATTAACCTAAAGTGAGAAGAGAGAAATTAACAGCAAACTCGTATTGGGATTGTTGCCTCTTTGTTCCACTCACAGTAGGTTTTGGTAAAATCATGTGTATGTCAGAAATAGACACACTTTTCAGATCAGGCTTATTCGGCATTACAAATTTATTATAACACTTGACGCTTTGACGAAAGTAGCTTACTTCACGGTCACCATCATCGTCAATTTCTTTTATTATTTTCCCTACATAAAATATGGACTTTGGTTGGCCTTTGCTTTTTCCTTTGTTAACATTTTTAGACAGAAACTTAACCAGCACAAATTCTCCTTCTTCTGGATTCTTTTTCAAAATTTGTTTGTTATCAGGATCAGGCATAGGTAGAATTTCGGCAATCTTTCTACGCTTCACAACTTTCATCGTCTCCACATCATCCGGATCAGAATCATCAAATAATTTTTTTGTTACAGTTTTCACTTTATTGAAACGGACATTCTTTGATGCCTTGATACTCTTCAATTTATTACGAACGGGAGTGTCTGTAGCTATCATTGTTTTCCCTTTTTTACGTCCACCTTTGCTTGTTTTTTTTCTTGGAGCTGCTTTGGGATATGGTGCAATTTCTTCTGGAGTAACAATTATCTTATTTTTCCCATCAACTTTGCTTGTAGTTGGCTGATCTGTCTAAAATTTTAAAAAAGTGTAATTTTGATAAAGGAAACAATAAAAGACGAATTACGAAAACAAAAAATAAAAGAAAATAATATTTACTTCAATTACGTCAAGTGTCTCCTCATGTTCTTGATTCGGAGATGCATTTTCTGGAGGAGGTAGCTCTCTGTCTGTCTCCTTGAAATCAGACAAAAACATAGCATGTACATAGGCACTGCTTTTATATTATGCATACTAAAGAATGAGAGGTAAACGAGACACTGAAACTCACATGTGATAACTTGAAGTCCTTGTCCGTAAAAATTTGGGGATTAAAAGGATAAATTCCACAGGCTTTAAATCCAGATTTAATGTTATCCGGGGTAATTGCAACTTCCATTGCTTCTTTTACTAGAGCAGCAATATTGTAAATTGTTACTGTATGTCCTGGATTCCTTGTCATCCAAGAGCTTAGAGCCTTGTCATAGGCTGTACTAAATGGCCCAAAGCAGGTTCGGTCCAAAGGCTGGCACATGTGAGAAGTATGTGGATGCAGGGTAAGAATCGTTACCCCATTTGCTTTGCACAGATCAATAGCCTCAATAGTGATGTGAGCCTCTAGATTATCCATGATCAAGAGGGATTCATTTTCTTTAGTGCTATTTGTAAGAGCAATGAATCTTTTCAAAACAAGTAAGAAATTGTTTTGTTCCAACCTGATGGAAACGCCAGGCCAAGAGTTCCAGGATAGCCTCCACAAATCATATGATTCACAAACTTTTTTCTTGGAAAAATCATGATTGGAGGGAAAACATTTCCAAGTGCATTTACAATGATGCAAGTGGTAACAAGTGTGCCCCTTTCAGCGCTTGTTTTCACAGACACTCTTCTTTGACCTTTTCTCGCTAAAATTTTGTTCCGGCCTGATTGAACTGTACAAGTTCCTGTCTCGTCCAAATTATAAACCCGCAAACCATTTGCAAAATTTGGATTGCGTTTAATTACTATCTCTAAATTTTCAAAATATTTGCTTACATTATGCTTGTTAAATGCTGAGCTACGACTCAAACTACATGGCTCTGGCTTCCTTAAAGAAATGACTGGATGGCGTTTCTTAAACGCATATAGCCAATCTAAGCCAGCTTTTTGATGTGTTCTCCATGATTCAGGAATTTTCTTATCATTTCTGACAGCAAATTCGTAAGCTATTTGTCTGGCTTTCTCTGAGAAAAGGCCATGGCCAAGTTCAGCACATGTTAAAAAGTATTCAAATAACAATTGCTCCTCTTCTTCAGAAAATATTTGACGTGAATTGTAATGTTGACTTAAATCTGCATTCAATATTAGTTGCTCTGCTTGTATATTCTCACCTTCAACAGGAGATGTTTTCTTGACATATCTTCTAAGTGTTTCAAAGTTAATTTCGTAGATTTCGCCAGCCTTGCGTAAAGACATTTCATTTATTATTACTGCTTTTATGGCTTTTTTCATCTTTTCCCCATCATGGACTCTATTTGTCTTTTTTTGCCTGTGTCGAACCATGCTTAACTTACGGTTATCAGATAATCGGCATGACAAATTGGGACAAACCCAAAAACCTAACCTAACCTAACCTAGCCTAGCCTAGCCTTTTTTCCATATCTCGGACAAGAGGGAGCTACGAGTTATAAAAGTCTGAACACATATCTAAATCACAAATCCCGAATAATCGGTTTTTTTTAAGGGACGTCTGGTAACCTTAGTTTAATAATCAATGATAAAAGAGAAAACAATGGTAAAAGAGCGAATAATTAATTGATAACCAAACATAAGCATGTCACAATGTGCCCCAAGGATTACTGTCACATACTGCCCCAAGCATACCTTTGCCACTTAACTTCAGGTGGACAGTGATACGAGGCTTGCATTAACATGATTATAATCTTAAATAAAACGTTAAACATAATCTTAAAACAGGCCATATATACTTGTGCCATCAAAAGAAATGCATTACCTTGAGAAACAAAACTATAAATTGAAAATCAAATTGCCGATCTGTTCGGATTTTGTTATATTACTCTAGCCGCCCTGATTTTTTTCAGAGACTTCTGAAACTCCGTTAAAGTAACTTTTTTATGACGCCTTTCTTTTGTGTGTGTTAATATTTGGCTGCGCTCGGTGCGTTTTGAGAAAAAGTCGCTGTCACATAGTGCCCCGTGTCTCAATGTGCCCCACCTTCCCCTATAAATTATCAATTTTGTTTTGTACATATTGTATTTCTTCATTTGTAATATCTGCTGATTCTTGAATAAATCTTATTCTGATGGGCCTACAGAAACGAGGTGATGAAGGTGTTGGATTTTACCAGATTATCTTTTTTTCATTCTTGCCGCTAGTAAGTTGCAATGGTACTAAACAACTTTGAAATAAATTAGCATCAGATTCTGAAATATTCTTGAATTTTTGTTTGTATTGTACTTGTGATCCATCGCAACCCCATTTATAAATTAATTCTAAGGTATTTCTATCTTCATTGCTTAAATTTTGTAGAACTTCTTGTAAATACAATGTTAATCGTTCAGCTGTATGATTTAATAAATCTTGAAGATCAATTTCCGCAGACGTAGCTGTAATCCTGTATGACTCGTGAATGGGGTAACAATCTTTTTTTGCTTTTTGTAAAATACTGTAACACGGATAGAATTTTTTATTGCTTGTTCTAACGATTTCATATTGATTTCTTGAAAGATTGGCTTCAACAAACATTGATAAAGGTGATAACTGTGGGCTTTTTGGCACGCTTTTATTAATATATGCTTTCCTATATTTTGTTGCGCGTTTTGGAGATTCTGTAATATCCTGTACTACTTTTGAAGCATTTACATTACCGTCTGCTCGTAACTTCATTTGTGTAGCGAAAGTCAATACTTTGGTATCAAAATTGTTCCTAAGATCCTGTGTCTTTCGTCTCTTGCTGCGTTCACTCGATTCTTCAAAAGACTTCATTGGTCGACCAGTTTGTCTCATTGTAGGTATTTCAATTGTACCTTGAAGCCAGCTGTCATTATTTTTTAAAAAAACCTCTTCTTTCTTATGTGCTGCGAGCCATCTGGCTTTAAACTGTGATTTGATATACGATAATTTGTGTTTCAAATCTTTATGTTTTTCTCGAGACAATTTTGCATTGTTTAATAGATAACTTTCCATAAATTCCAATTTTTTAGTGATATTATTTGCAGTACATTCTTTCATAATATTGTATATTTCTTTTCGTGATAAAATTTTAATATCCGAAGATCCTACAAAAGAAAACTTCAAATAAAAATATTTGACAAAATCTGATTTACATGTAGAAAAACAAAAATAAGTACAATAACTACATCCGCGGTTTTCCGCGGCTAATTCTTTTTGATATTACGTCTGGATAGATTACTCTTGCATTTCATTCAAAAAACATTACAGGGACAGATCCTGAAGTGTAACTAAATTCTTCAAGATTGACATTAAGAATGAAAAAAAAAACACATTATTGAATACTATTTTAAAGATTGCAAATCTACATGAATAATAATACAATTGTAGCAAGAATAGATTAAAACATTTCTACAGACCTTTCTTCGAACAATCCATAACGAAATAATTTGCTCTGCTACTTTCCAGACTTTAAAACGGTTTATGAAAGATTGTATTTCAGAAAGCGCCAGAGACGGATGCATGCAACGTGAACGACATCCAGGTTTCGACTAAGCAAACTGCTATCGTGAACAAAAAAGTACATCGGCCCATTGTTTTGCAGATATTCAACTGTCTCAGACAGTCATTTACGTACACCCAGTACTGTTTTGACGGAATCGACTTTTAGCCAACTTTTTAATACAAATACCCCACTGTGCGTCGTCGCGGGCGCTCTTGCCGTAAGCGCCCGCGACGACGGTGAGCCGCGCCGCTCCTGCCTGCCTCTAGTATCTGGCCCCTCATTCGATATCGTTTCCTCTTTATAATTCAAAAACTAAGCTTCGGAGAAAATTTTGCAAGAGGAAAAATCATTTCAGAATTAAGTTTAGAATACGACATTTTAAGGACAAGTGGTTGTTCTGAATCACCCTGTATAGGACAAATAAAAAGACACCTAAAAACTCGAATTAATGAACACTCGAAAGATATAAAAAAACATGGCGACAACCAATCCGTCGTCAGCAAGCACCGTTCCATGTTCTGCCACGATTTCGATTGGTTGTCTCCACAAGTTCTACATAGAGAAAGCAACACGAGAAGACGAGAGATAGCAGAAATGTTTTACATAAAAAGGATTAACGGCATAATCAATTTACAAAAAGACATCGAAAATCTAAACCCTATATATGACCACATCGTAGACCTAACATAAATACACGCCTTTAATATTTAGACAATTGTTTATCTCTTCGACTTTCACTCGGTCCCGACGATCATCTCGACATTTATAAAAGCCAGTCACGTTCCGTCATCTCTCAAACAGGTTCTCTTTTAAAGTTCGACACTAACATGAGCTTCTCAAGTCAACCGTGACCGAATCCGTTGCATCTAAGTTACACACTAAATTATATTATACCTACTATTTATTACACAAATCTAAGCGCTTAATTCTCACAGGTATTTATAAAAAAAATTTTCTTATCTATTGACGCAACATACACGACTTCGAAATTTATGTATTAACCTAAGTACCTTTAACATTATATAGTTTTTCTCGCTTGAAAAGGACCAAAACGCATGGTCGAAACGTAGCGAGTTTGGAATATTAAAATAGCCAGATACAGTAAAAAAAACTTGAAGTTGTTAATTAACCTTGCCATCCACAATATTTCATCTTTAAATTTGCACAGCTGACTTTTTCTCGGTTATGTTTCTATTGGAACACATATTAAAAGAATGAACCAAAACTTTATAGAAAAAACACAAAATTTTGTTTTAGTCATTGAATTGTATTTCAAATGACATTTGGTTAAGAATTCATTATTTAGAGTATTTAATTCATCATGCTCATTAA